TTCTTCTTTCTTACCAACTACCAAGTGGTTGTTCTGTACAATAATCACTAGTAAACCTCAGCATAATAGAGAAATTATCTTCTTACAAAACATCTAACCAAGTTCAACAACACAGAAATTAAGTGAAAGGTGATTAAAAAGAAGTTACGAAGGAAGATCTTTGGCTGCTCTCAAGCCCCAGCCCTTCTTCTCTGTGAGTATGACTTCCACATCTGCGTGCTGTTTCCTCTGGAACCGTCTATTGGAACAATAATCCCCATTTGGACACCGAGAAGAGCTGAAATGAGAAACAGTGGAAATGAATTCTTAAAAGCACCAAAGAACCAAAACGTCTTGACTAGAATGCATCGTGTGACTACATGAATCTGTATCTTTATGGCAGGGTCAGAGCATGTGTGGTAACCCCAAGGAAGCTTTCCCCAGTAACTTTTTCCATCACAAAGGGATTCTTTAGAACTGTCTACATTGCTCCTTGAAAAGATCACCACGCAGCTTCAACATCTGGTCATCACATGGCAGGTTTGTCTGCCACTCCCTGGTGTCCTGAACTACTCCTCTACTCCTCAGAGCAGGTAAGCTGGTGATGCAGCCAATTCTGCAGAGTCACTTAATTCCAACAGTGCAGCTTCCTTTCACATTCTAAGCTCAACACCATAATTTGGTCTTTTAAATGCTGCTAACTACTTGATCTGCATTTGAGAGAAGCTAAAGTCAGAGTAAACATAACTGAGCGAGGCTATTCTCCCACAAATCCCAAAGTAAAAATAGCAAAAACCAAACATTCATTGGATTCTTAATATTCCAAAGTTGGCAGATATAAAGGCTTTTTTAAAAGAATGATTAATTTTTTTCTTATTATTATTTTAAATTTCTTATAGAGCACATGCCCTCACCAGAGAAAGAGAGCAAGAGTAAGAGAGAGAAGGAAACTGAGAAAGCAAGTCACCAGGTCTGGGACTCGAACCAGGCAGCCACTGGAATCCCAGTACCTTAACTATCACACTACCTAAAAGCCCCAATATAAAGGCTTTTTAAAAAATAATTATTTTATTTTAACTGTATTTATTTATTTTAATTTGACCAGAGAGGGACAGAGTGATAAGAGATATAGAGAGGGAAAGTGAGAAAGCAAGCCACCAGTTTCAGGACTTGAACTATGGTCGGCCATATGGGAGTCCAGTGCCCTTAACAACCATGCCACCTGCCAGCCCCTATTATAATTTTAATTTCGCTATAGGTCATGTGCACTCACCAGGGTGAGAGAGAGAGAGAGAGACAGAGAGAAAAAGAGAAAGCAAGCTACCAGGCCCAGGACTTGAACTGTGGTTGGCCACATGGGCGTCCAGCGTTCCCAACCACCCACACTACCTGCTGGCCCATATAAAGTCTTTTAATGCCAATCAAAACTACAACAGGAACCAGTAGTTAGTGTAATGGCTATGTTGTTGGACTCCCATGTAGTTGACCGCGGTTCGAGTCCCGGACCCGGTGGCTTAAAACTCACGCCAAGCGCGTGGTGCGTGTGTGCCCAAGATCCCGAGAGGAGAATGGAGAATAAGGGATTGCGGCGTGGCCATCCCCCCTGGGGGGTGATTTCTCGCTTTCTATCTCTCTGTCTTTCTGGCGAGTGCATGCGCCCTATAGCGAAAAATCTCTCAAAAAAAAAAAGAAGAAAAAGTTTCTTTCCT